GATAGATAGATAGATAGATAGATGCAGACAGACAGACAGACAAGATAGATGACAAATTTATTCCAGGAAAATAAATGTGATGGTTAGTTGGAACTTTTATTGTCCTCCGGTAAAAATGACCATGCTTTTGCCTGAATCGCATTCCAGGTTAGTAAGTTTGAACAAAAATTTCATGTCAAAGTTTTCATGCTCACTGAACAAGAATGTTCACTAATATTCATTCCATTTTCATCCAAGACCTTAAGACAATTCAAACTAGCAAAAAAGGCAACATTTTAAAGATGCAGGAAGGGTTATGGCATAATTTTTTGACATTCCTTGGATTCCTGTTCCATTTCAAACCATTTTGGGAATTGGAAAGAAATAACTGAACATTCACAAGGCTGGTGTTGCCACCTGAAAGCATCTGTCTCAGGATTTTAAGATATGCAGCATCTCCTGCCTGTTGCTTAACCAGTCATGGCACCATCAACTAGTCCTGGCAAGACCCGCAATAAACCCAGAAAACAGAATTTTGTCTAGATAATGAGAACATAACCAAGCAGCTAAAAACAAGTACTCTCAGCATATCCTACTAACTGGTCATGAAGATTATGAAAATCAGATGCCTAGTAATCCAATTCTAACTTTTTGTTCCCACCTGCTAAAATTATTCAAGGTCGGATCAGAAAAAAGACAGCAAATGTGTAAAAACATCGCAATATGATTAATTTAATTATGTTCATTTTTTGTTGCCATCCCATAAAGCATAAAATATGGAGATTTTTGAACAATGCAGATAAATTTAATGACACAGCAGATACACAAAGAGAATTGACGGCTAGAAATATGGAAGCCATTAAAACTCCTTTCTTTCTGCGATATTCTCTAAATGCAACGTTGGAGATCTATTTGATTGCGACCAGAACAATAGGTGTGTATGGTTGGAAAGACGGGATTGAAGGCCTTTTTGATCTAAGGAAAGCAATTTTTTTAAAGGGGTACAGCACTTGTCAACCCTTTGCACTCAGTCTTCTTTTACTACGGCATCCTTTCCCACACTTGCCTGCAAGCTCTCCACCCACCGCAGAGCAAAAATTCACCCACGCAATATTGCAAAGGCTAGAAAGCAGATGACAAAAAAAGAAAAGACAAGGCGTAATGGGAGGAAGGCAGCAGTGCTTTCTTCAAGCCAGAAAATGCCATCTCTCTCTAGCTCACATACATTGTCACAGGAAAAGTGAATTTCTTGCCCACCCCTCCCACAACACGCTAACACAGCTCAACCCCCTCAAGTCTCACATGTACGCACAACCTTCAGCATAGCAGCACACAAGGACAACGTTTGGTCTGTAATGTCTGTTCAAAAACACAGGGAAGCTTGGGGCAGTACAGAAGGACAAGGCCTGGAGACCCCATTCTTTGGTCTCAGATGATGCACCCCTTATACATTGCTCTCCCTTTCACTTGCATCGTCCCCTCCCCAGCCTGGCCTTTATGAGAAAAAGACAGGGTTGGGCACTTGCATACATGTTCTGTCCTTCAATGTTACAAACAGCATGCTCCCTAGAGCATGACTCGCTCATCCACACTTCTATGTCAATGTGTCACAAGCATGTATTTCACAGATAGTTAATCGAAATCATTATCACGAGGCATCCATTAGAACAAAAAAAAAAAGATAATTCCATTCTTAAATCCATTCCTCCACAACACAAAGACATGAACATCCTTTCTTTCTATTCCAGTCTTCCTCTATCTTTGCTATAGATCCTTCTTTTCAACATAAAAACTGTTTGGTTCACAACAACATGCTGAAAAAAAAACCAGGGGCAAAAAAACAGGCAACAAAATGGACGGGTGGTTGTTTAGCGTTTGCTGGTTTCCTGACTCTGACCAACACCTCTAAGCCCTTCCCCGTGTGTACACACTTATATACATATAGCTGTATCTTTAGATTCACTAACATTTAAAGGGAGGGATGGAGAATAAAGTTATGGCCTATCATACGAATGTCTGCACAAACCGTGATAGCACAGCTAATGGGAGCCTACATATGTGGGGCATAAAGCAAAGGTCATTGTGCTGCTATTGTAATACACATGCACAAATACATACACACTAAAAAAAAAAAAGCCGCAGAGCCATCAAGAGATAATACAGAATTTTCCAGTCAAGAGCCAAAAAACCTACTAAGGAGGTGGGAGGGTGGGAAGGAGTCTGGGAGGAGGAGAAATGGGGAACAGACAGAAAAAAGGGAAGCCGGCAGAAAATGGGGGGGGGGGTTAAATACAAAATACAGCTCCACTCTTCTAATCCCAAAATTAACAACCCGTCCCTGCCCATATAGACCCACACAGAGAGCATCCTACCTTTTTTCCCCTTCAGCCTCCCCTACCCAGCATTAGTGCAGATGGATTTCTCTATCTTGGCTTTGCAGCAATCTAATGACTTGCAGATCAAAACCCCTCATGGAAGATATCACCTGCCCTCCCCCTCCCTTTTTTGGCCTAAAGAATGTGTTTTTAGAGATAATGATATCTATTTAAAACAATTAGAGGCCTCATAAGGGATACTATTCAAAAAACAGCAGCTCCCCATCTCTCTTCTGCCTTCTTTTGCACGCACCACAATTTTCATTTCTCTCCCATTTTTTCTAACCCTCTCCCCACCCATCAAGAATAGTACTAATGAATTAAATTGCAATGACATGGGTATGTTTTAAAAAATAAACCCCAGAAATTAATCAGGAGAGCCAATCTCAAAATCTCAATCACTAAAATCCGCTGGAATTCATTCTTTTCCTTATATAAGCAGAAGCACGCCAACATGTTTTGTAGAGACGCGGTGCAAAATGAGGCCAACATAGAGCCATGAAGAATGGTGATATCATCAGATATCGGCTCAGTCAAGGAATCATCACTGGGGATTATGAAATAAAATGCTAAGGCCTAAAATCTTGAATTCATTTGTTTATTGGCATATCATTTTCCCAACCCTTCCTTTCTTTCTTTTTTTAAGGAAAACATCATAAAAGATGATAATATACTTTCCTGTCTTAAAGTATTCTCTACCGGTAAAGTCCTTAATGATCTAGACAGAAAATCTTGATCAATCCGACACCCGTATATATTTCATTTAATCAATTAATACAGCCATGGTTAGTCCCACCATCACTGAGGATGTAAAAACACATTTTCCTCTTCTCACAAGCCAAGATGCTTTACAAAGGAGTGTCGAGAGCTTGGGAGAAAATTTCATTAAATCCCATACTAGTAATGCATAAAAAGCACGTATGGATAAAAAAAGGTAGCAAAATAAGATGGTAACCATCAATGCCTGCAATTTTTTTAAAAAAAATACACTTCTCACTAGCCTTTAAGTAAACTTGCTGAATGTAACAATATGTACCACTTTAACAAAATAGGGACCATGAAAATCTCATATTTTACATCGTTCATGATCACTGTTTTTCAGAGAGCAAAGAGCTCATCTTGGTCCTTTTCTTTTCCACCCGATAATAACCTTCTCCCTTTCTCTCTCAATTCCTGACCTCACTAGACTAGTCAGGAGTTCACCCCCGCAAAAAAAAAAAAGGTCCCAAAAATATATCATGGCTGAAGTGCCAATGCACGGTCATGAAAATTATTTGCTTTGGAAAAAATATTTCTCTTTCAATGTTGCATTTGATGCCTGAAAAATTCTCAGGTCAGATTTGAGACGAAAAAATAGAAACAAATTCACACAAATTATCTGCTCCTAAAAAACCAACCATAATTTTCATGAAATTTGAAATAGCCAGACCAAAGAAGAAATCAAGAAAGAGTTGGCAATGAAAATTCTGGGATTTTGAAAATAAATTTAATAATTTTACAAGGATTTTTAGGCTCAATGATTTTTATTCCAAGGGCTTCTTATAACCTGTCCTTTATTTATTTTTAATCTAATAATTTGTGGGTGGGAAAAAGAATAACATGCTTTCAAAATGGTTAATTTTTTTTTACAAAGAAAGTGTAAATAATTTTGGAGATTTCTTTTTTTCATTGTACAAAAATAATTAAAATGTAAAAGTAAACAAAAGATCACGTCACTTGTACAGCACTACAGCCTGATGATTTAGAAAAGGGAATTACATCACCGTCCTTCATGGGGTAAAATTACAAAACAGCTCTGGACTTGGATTTGGAGGGGGGGAAAGGTGGAGAACAAAGAAAAAAAAGAAAAAATATATTAACACTATTTATTTGTGGTATGATATTACAAAATTGTCAGCAACATTTAAGGTCGCTCCTTGCCTGGTTGTTCATAGCAGTTGCTTATATAGTGGAAGTTTTCAGATAGGGATGATACTAAATCATTAATATAAACAAATGGAAGCCAAGGAAGAAAGATTCTTGTAACAGAGCCAAAGTAGTATGGAATAGGAGGGGGGAATGAAACCTTTGCATCTTCGTCTCATTTTTTATTGTGTAATTGTTTAAAAATTGTCAGGGTGAGATTTAAAGGAATTTAAGGATTACGGACAATCCTGGTTTCTTCACACTTTACTCTAGCAGTGTCTTTTTCCAATTTTTTTTTTAAATTTTATCCACATAAAGCCGGTCTGTCAAAGGAATCTAAATAAATGTATTTATTAGGGTCTCTCCTCTGCGTTTGTTAACGAAATATTTGGTTTCAGTGTGTGGTTTAAATCCTTTTTTGCTTTTACTTTTTAGGCGTGGGGAGAAAAATCCAATTTAAGGAAGGAGTCAACTTTAAAAACAAAATCTTATCGAGATAAATCCCCGAAGGAGTAGGGATTTCGGAGTTTCTTTCCGTTCCTTCCAATTTTTCAATCACGCTTGCATTTCATTCCAGCTTTCGCAGGTGAGAACTTCTAGCCTCGAATTCTGAACTAGAGTTCCCAGGAGGCGCCCCGAAAAGGCTGTGTCCGTGAAAGTGGGGGGGGGAGGCGTCGTATTCCAGCCTGGGTTTTACATTTCCCGCTTCTTCGGTTCCCCCCCCCCAAAAAAAAGTCTTACCTTGGAGTTGAGGAGAGCTATAGGTACTGGAATCAACTCTTCGTTTGGCTCCTTCTCGGGGTTATAAGAATCCAGACTGTCTCTATGGGAGCGGCATGAGGGAAGGCGAAGGAGCTGCCCGACGCGGGACCCGAACGACTTGGGAGAGCAGAGGCAGGGCTGGCGAGAAAAGGCGCGCCAGAAAAGGGTCGGCGCGCCTCTCCCTCGGCGGGATGAGTTGCGCGCGAGAAGAGCTGCGTAAAGCAGAGCTTTCTGCCCGAGACTGTCAGAGAAGCCCAGGAATTTCACGCACTCCGGAGCCGATCCCTCCCCTTCTCCAGCGCGCAGACCCCAGCATTTAAAGAGACAGCCGAGACGGTGGGTAAATCCGAGCGCTACTCCTCCCACCCGGAGCTGTTTTGCAAACAGCTGAGAAGATGTAATCTGGGGACATCCTCAAACCCAGGATGACTAAGAGGCAGGTGCTCGGGAGCCCGGCTTTCTCATGCTTGCAAACTCATCCTGGGGAAGCGAGATAACATACACCGCCCCCTCTCCTGGGAAAGCGCCATACAATTTGGGAAAAGATAAAGCTAATTGGAGGCTCCAAAATGAAGCCGAAGTCTATTGAACGCAGGCTAATAGTATTGGCGATAATACGCCAAGTGAGAGCCTCGCTGTATGGTTTTTTTGGTATGTTTTCGTGGTTTTTACCCCAAGATAGTTCTGTAGGAAGTTAATTTTTTAAATAATAATAATAATAAAATCGTCACATTCTCATTCTTGTTAATTCTTCTTTAAGACGCCTCTTTTCTGTAAGCTGGACTGTAGGCTATGTTTTTAATTTTTGGGAGGGGGGAGTGCTCGGTTCGGTTCTGCAAGTCTCTTCTTTAACAGGGCCAACTACACTCACTACTGCCTGAATTTATATTTCAGTAAATAAAAAAAGAAACCAGCGCTAACTTCAGCGCTGGCTTACTCAAGCTGGGAAACGCTTGAGGATGCTTAAAGTTCACTCTTTATAAACTAGGTTGGCCTTTCTGGTGACAAGAAAGGTCCATCGTTTTGAACCTTGTGGAAACTGAGAAAAGTGTTTACTTACATATACATATATACATATACATACATACATACATACATACATACATACATACATACATACATACATATATATATATATGCTTTATGTATAAGTATAATAGAAGAAGCTTTTATAGATATACTTATGCATGTGTGTATAAATCAATTTATAGCTATAGCATCTATCTTTCTGCTATGTATCTACTTCTGATGAAGCTATGTTCACTTGTTCATCCTTTGTTAGCTCATTACTGTAGATGCCATCAGGTTGAACTGAATCTCTGGAGTCTCGGGAATGGGAAAAAAAGTTTTTTGTTCGTTAGTAAAGCATCATACAGTACTGAATTTTTTACTTTTCAGACTGAGAAAATAAGAAATGTATTTTCACTTCGTGTTCCAATACATTTTTTAATAATAGCCATAACATTAAAATATATTAGTAGTAGTAATATACCGTTTGTTTCACTATTAAACACATACATTTATATATAAGTTCTATACTAACATAGTTATATATATCCACACTATGCTATTCTAATGTCTCAATAACTTTATATTATATGTTCATTTAAAAACAATATCCTTTTTTCCCTTTGAAAGATGATCCCAAGAAGATAACTGCACACATTACCAAGAAAAAAAATAAAAACCGAATAATAACGTTTAACAAACTATCTTAAATGGCAATGAACAATAAATTTAAACCCAGCAGAGTAATTGCTTGTTCTCCAAGTCAAAAACCATTTAAAAAATCATGTTAAGTAAGAGAATCATATGAACTTTTAAGTTCTGGAAGTAAGCCTGGCTTACACAGTAGGGTAAGCCCTATGGTACTGGTGGACATAAGCCAGAAGTCATAGACTTTGTCTACATGTTTCTCTACTTAACCTTGGAAAAGAAGTATAGAGCAAGACTAAGAACATTGTTAAATCCATTTATAATTTTAAACAAAAATTAGCATCTGGTCATTTCTAAAATGGGTGGGGCAAAGGTTTCTTTGCAGTATACTATCCATCCCCCATATCAAAACATAGATTTTGAAAGTCATTGTGGTTTCAATATATTTGTCAATTTCTTGAAAAATCTATGTCCTTGAATCACTTTTAAAATAGATGGAACTAATCCAGTAGTAGTTTGGATGTCACTACCTGAATTTGAACCAGACATTTTTATTTTCCTACATTTGTGGTTTATGCAGTTTTTCATATTCAGATGCCAATGAAGGTAATGAAGACTTTCAATGAAACCATAGAATTTCCTTTCATAATAATTAGAAACCAAGGGATTCTACTTTCTGTTTAAGCTAAGTTAGAGAACTACTGTTGACTTACAGTTCCTAATACAGTGTTTCTCAACCTTGACAATTTTAAGGCATGTGGACTTCAACTCCCAGAATTCCACAGCCAGCAATGCTGGCTGTGGAATTCTGGGAGTTGAAGTCCACATGCCTTAAAATTGTCAAGGTTGAGAAACACTGTCCTAATAGCTGAAACCAGCAAGACCATATATGAAGGATATTGCAAGCTTTATGTTAACAATACCTGAAGAGTTTTTTTTTATTGTGATTGGAAACCCTTGTGGGCTTTTGGGGGAAAAAAATGAAAAAAAAATACTTGTGATTTATTGTTTGATGATTTATAGGCTAGATTATAGAAAGAGGATAGTCATGATGTAACTTTAGATAGAAAGGTTAAAATATAATTTTACTTACAACTGCTATGAAAAATATTGGAAGCCGATTCTTTATACTTTTCTATCTTTCGTTATAGCTTTCTCTTTTTTATTTCTACTTTTTTCTTATTCTACTTTTTATCTTTTTCCTTTATTTCTCTCTTTCCTTTTCCTTTTCTTTGTTCTATTTTTGTTTCTATTTATTCTTATTGCTATTAAAACGTTCAATAAAAATTATATTTAAAAAATATCTGAAGGGGCATAAGCTCCTTCCTCAAATCTTTAAAGGGTGTTCATTTAATGAGGAAAGAAAATACATGTGCATGGAGTTCTTATCCAGATCAGCAGCAGTGCAGCTGGGAGACAAAACAGAAATATATTGTTAGGCCTCAGTAGAGATCCATTTCTTTGCTTTGATAGAGCCACAAGGCAGGGGACATGGCTAAAACTGCTTACGTGACTATCATTATGGCATGGAATTCATTCAAATGTATAATGCTACAAAAGGGAAACAGTTTTCTCAGGGTCAAACAAGAAATAAGGGCTGGAAAATATTCAACCATTTATAAAATCCTTTAATGTTTTTACCACTTTTGCAAAGGAATATTAGAATTTTATTATTTTCTACTCATTCATACAAATGTACCATATATTTTACAGATGTACTCCTATGAGTTAGATTTGCAATAGATGTCATCCCCTTGCTGATTTTGACAGACCTCAAGAAAAGCAGGCAGGGTTGGGCCTAGTTAGTACTTGATTGGGAATCACAAGGACATTTCAGGGCTGTAAACTAAGCTGAGAATTTTAAAAGCACCTACTAGTAGACAATGGCAATGGAAAACCAATTCTGTATTGTTGCCAAAAAAAACCCAAACAAACAGGGCTGAAAGAGCTGAATTTCACTGAATGAAGATTTTGCCTTAAGAACCAAACCTGCATGGGAGAAATGTATACTAAAATTTTACAATATTCGAGGGCTAGATAGAAAAATAAATAGACAGACTAAATATGTAGAAGATATCAGAAAAAAATGACAGGCCTTATGCAAAAAAGTGAATGTTCCCCAAACTCTGCATTTGATTTCATTTATATCATGTACTTTAAATTCAATTATTTGTGCATGAATGCTATGATATTTAAATTTGGGTTCATTTTAATATGAATATTAGAATCAATTCATAAAATCCAATTCGATTCAAACGGATCTGGATTAAACCTGAAAAGCAAATCCAGTTGAATGGGAATCAATCCAGATCACAAAGATATGTCTAGGCTTGTGTGAAAAGTTTCTGAATATCTCCAATATCAGTTAAGATGCACCTTATTCATAGATTTATGTAGTTTTTATGTTGTTGTAAACTGCCCAGAGTCACTTAAGTAAGGTTGGCAGTATAGAAATATAATAAATAAAGAAATGATCTGATTTAACAGACTGACCAGAAGCAAATCATTCTCAATCAATTTGAAGCACTGAGTGCTTTCACAGAAATAAGGATTATTTTCCATGCATTTAATAATTTTTCCTCCTGTCATATTAAAGATTATAGACAGGCAGCAAATTTGGACGAACTGAAGCAGAGGTTTTCAGGGGTCATGTGGAGCCCTCAAGACTCCATTATAAACCATTAGGTCTTTTCTCAGCAGACTTGACTGGATTTAATTAAACATGTACATAAGAATCCTGGAACCTCTGATGTAATTTTATTGTAGAAAAGCTAAGAAGCTATTAAAAACCTTAGTACCAGTACTAGTGCATAGCAAATGCAAGTAAAATAAAGGTTCACATTCTTTAATCACTTCCTCCTGTCCAAGTATGCAATGGGATGGACAGTTTTTGCTTTTAGATGGAAGGACCACTTTGGTCTGTCTCTTGTTTTGATAACAATCAGATTTACTATCACGTTGTTTTTATCTGACCACATGAGAATGATTTATATTCTGATCAAAATGCATATTTATTAGAAATTACTGGAATCTTCAGAATAACAAATGATTGAATTTCAAGTCATTGTTAATAAAATACATGTCACTGATTTAAAGAGCTCTTGTTTAACTTGTCACGCATGCATATACATTTTTATTTAGAATTTTTTTCTGTCCCAAACCAATAAAACACAAATACAGAATTTAAAATACAGAAACACCAATAAAGCACAAATTTGATATTCAAAATATAGGAAAAAATTAAACTCAAAATAATAACAAGTAAAGGGTATCATTCAGCATCTGTAAACCATAACTGTTGAAAGAATCTTGGCAACATTTACAGCAGTTATCTAAATTAGGCCTTGCAGAAGGAAGATTGTAATTCCTTGATCAGAAAGACAACTAAATTGGGTTTATGAGTGTCAGATGCTATGAGTGGTACAATGGGCAGTGTAGCAATACATGGATTACTGATTCTAGCCATGGCATCTGGCATTCATAAAGATAGTAACCCATGTATTACTATACTATGTATTGTATGTATAAGTATACATATGTATTATGCATATAAATATCTACATGCACAAACTGATGATCTGATATTTGAAGCCTGGCAACATCCATGTCCCTTTCTTTTCATAAAAAAAAGGTAGCTCTGAAGCAGTTCCTCTAGAGAAGAGGCTTCTGGACCTAAACTATTGAAATATTTGTTTTCAGCAACAACTCTGTTGCTCTTTGCCTTTCATTTTTGAATTGCTGCTTGCTTTGAAACAACTGGAGACTCAACCTCTAATAACCCTTACAAATAAGTACTAAAAACAAACATGAAACAGTCTCACCATTTACTTGTCTGTATATATGAATAGGCTAGTCTGGGAAACTGAAAAATATCTCCGATGAAAACCATGGCAAGCCATACCTGCATTTTGAAGACATAGACAGGAAG